CCTGGTAAACCTTTTCTGTACCCTCTCCAAAGCATCCACATCCTTCTGGTAATGTGGTGACCGGAACAGTATGCAATATTCCAAGTGTGTCTTAACTAAAGTTCTATAAGGCTGCAGCATAACTTGTCTGTCCTTATACTCAATGCCCCTTCCAGTGAAGGAAAGCATACCATTGGCCTTGAGATAACAAGGTGTAGAGCTGGATGAACACAGCAGGTCAAGCAGCATCAGAGGAGCAGGAAGGCTGACGTTTCGGGCCTAGACCCTTCATCAGAAATCATGCCATTGGTCTTTTTTACTGTCTTAACTACCTGCGTTGCCACCTTCAGTGACCTGTGGATCTGCACACCCAGATCCCTCTGCATATCGATACTCCAAAGGCTACTTCCATTCACTCTATAACTTCCACCTGTACTTGACCTTCCAAAATGCATCTCGTTCTCCCAAATCACAAATACACTCCATGCAAAGTTATCCCCCTCTTTTGAAAGCAGTTTTGCATTTTAACTCCTTTTTCAGTCCAAGGCCTGATATTAAGTCAGTGTGATTTATTTTCTAGTGCCCTCACTCTCTCGATCTCTCTCTGCAGGAGCAAGCTTCTCATTGGCTCAATGACAGGGTCAATGCGACTGATTACTACTTACTGAAGAATCTCAAATGGGGGACACATTACCACGTCGAAGTCGAAGCTGAAAACGAGATCTCTGTATCAAAGCATCGGCTGATAAACTTCACTACTCCTGAGGATCCACATCCGCCTCTCCCTGGTATGTCCTGTGAAGTGTTTGTCCTCAACAGATCGCACAGTCTATCCTTTCCAAGGATTGTTGAAATGAGGCGAACTTATGCAGGTCAGCATTGATCTGTCAAGGGACAGCCTCGAGGAAGGGGGCTGAATGGCCTCCTGCTGTTCCTGTGTAACACACTGGGGAAGGGGGCTGAATGGCCTCCTGCTGTTCCTGTGTAACAGGCTGGAGGAGGGGGGCTGAATGGCCTCCTGTTCCTGTGTAACAGGCTGGAGGAGGGGGGCTGAATGGCCTCCTGTTCCTGTGTAACACGCTGGAGGAGGGGGCTGAATGGCCTCCTGCTGTTCCTGTGATTGTCCTAATGAGGGTTTTGGATTTGCAGTGAATTCCGCGATTGGGGACAACACCAAGCTCGGCACCGGAGGGATTATTGGGATCATCCTGGTGATTTTCCTGGTGGCATTTGCAGCAGTGGATGTGGCCTGTTACTATACCAACCGGTGTGGAATCCTCATGTGTATTGCTGTCAACGTCCTTGGCAGGCAGGACCCTGGGGCAAAGAGGCTGGACCAGGAGGTGGGGGTCAGTGTGGTCAGGTGAGCAACCAGGGGTGGGGAGGGGAGG